CTCTCTCTCTCTTTTCTTTCTCTCTCTCTCTCTCTCTCTCTTTTTTCTCTCTCTCTCTCTCTCTCTCCCTCCCCTCTGCCTTCTTCGTCGACCTCCGCGTTCGAGGCGTCAGATGGTCATCCTCATTCGCCCGCAACCTGCCTCTGGACCTTGTCCCCGCTTCTCCCGCCCTGCCCCCCCTTCACCCTCTTCAGCCCCCTCCTTATCCCTGCCCCCTTCCCGTTCCCAGTTCATGGGCAGGCGCCATCGCCACAGTGTGATGCTTTGTCGTTTGCCAGCACTTTCGCGCGCGGAACAAAATCACCATTCCTTCCCCGCTCCCGCGCACGAGCGTGCAAGCGCATCGGCCGAACGCGGCGTCATCAGGCATCAGGCCTGTCAGAAAAATGGCCCGATCGCCCGCCCAGGCGTCGAGGTCCTCCCTGCTGAAGCAAGAGATGAATTATTGTTGTGCCCGGGAAGCGTCCGGAACGCGGCGCATGGCGCGAAGCGCCAATGCAGTTTTGTGTGTATTCCGATTCTCTACCTAGGCTCTGCCTAGAAGGGTTCTTGCTCTCTGGGCTTAAAGGGGCGGGGCAGTGGAAAGCACCCCGGGCGGTTCCCCCAGTATCCGCCCCGCGGTTCCCCCAGTTGCGCCCCCTTAGCTTAGCGTTGCTTATATCATCTTAGCTTAGCTTATTTCATCTTAGCTTAGCTTAGCTTCATCTTAGCTCAGGTTTATCTTAGCTTAGCTTCTTTGTGTACTGACTTAGGCTCTGCCTAGAGGGTTCGCCTAGCTTAGCCTAGCATAGCGCAGCGCTGCATTAGCATAGCAAAGCATAGCACAACATAGCCAAACATGTCATAGCATATCATAGCATACTATATCGCAACATATCATAACATATCATAGCACAGCGCAGTTTAGCATAGCGTAGCTTAGCATATCACGGTGCAGCATGACATGTCATAGCTTAGCATATCATATCATATTATAGCGTAGCATAGCATAGCGCAGCATAGCATAGCATAGCATTGCATAGCGCAGCATAACATGGCATAGCATATCATAGCATAGCATAGCAACTAATGCTGTTTTCCCGGGGGGCCCAATTTCTAGGTAGGGTCGCACTGGGGTAATTAATTCATTTCTGTTACCTGGACCCCCCCCCTAAACCAGATCCCCCCCCAAGGATGCCCCAGGCACCCTTTCGGACGTCTCGGCGGCCCCCGAGACGCCCTTGGAAAAAGGTCCGCTGGCCCCCCCGGGCCTCCCAGGGCGTCTTGCCGGGCCTTGCGAGCATATTCGAAGCGATCAGAAAAGGGGTTATCAAAGAGGTGCAAAAGAGACCCAAGACAGCACAAGAGCGCTCCAAGAGGAACCTTGATGATCCGAAGACGACCCACGAAACCCCCAACACGCCCCGAGAGGCCGTTAAGAGAGCTCCTGAAAAACAAATGTCGTCCCATTCTCTTGAGACAATGTATATGTTTTTGCATGTCCCGTGTCTGTATCTTTGCGGCGTCCAAGACGGCCCGATGGGCCCCCGATATCGCCCCAAGACGGTCCAAGAGGCCCCGCAAAGGGTTTGAAGACGGCCCGACAGGGCCCCAAGACTGCCCCAGAGAGCCCCGAGACTGCCCACAAGAACCCAAGATGCCCCCAGAAGGCTCCCAAGAGAAGCGCGAAAGCCATGGGATACCCCCCAGAAGGCCACTGGAGGTCCCCAAGGGGGCCCTACATGATTTCAAAAGACCACTGGCGGGCCCCCGCTCCCCAAGAAGGCTCCAAAACGGCCCAAAGAGCCCCCAGAACGCCCAGACGGCGTTATCATTGCGCTCGTCGTCGTCTCTCTCTCTCTCTCTCTCGCTCTTTCTTTTTTCCCTATCCGTTCCCTCTGCCTTCTTCGTCGACCTCCACGTTCGTGGCATCCGATGGCCATCCTCATTCGCACGTTCTTTCCTATGGACCTTTTTCTCCCCCCCTCCTCCCCCCTTCCGCTCTTCAGCCCCCCCCCTTATCCCTGCTCCCTTCCCGTTCCCCGTTCGTGGACAAGTGCCATCGCAACAGTTTGATGTTTCGTTGTTTGCCAGCACCTTCGCGCATGAAAGAACAGCATTCCTCGCCCACTCCTGCGCACATGCGTGCAAGCGCATCGGCCGAACTCGGTGTCAGCACACACCAGGGATATCAGACAAATGACCCGGTCGCCCGTCCAGGCCTCGAGGTCCCCTGCTGACGCAAGCGATGATTTATTGTTCTACAGGGAAAGCGTCCGGAACAAGGCGCATGGCGCGAAGCGCCAATGCAGTCTTGTATATACATATGTGTGAAACTGCTCATGCGTAGTCAACGCAGAGTTCGGTTTCGATGTTATGATTTTGTACGTTGTTTTCCGATATTGTGTTGTTGTGTTTGTTTTGTGTACTCTCATGTTTCGCCCAAGGTCCGCCTATAGGAGGACATGCTCGACCCAACAATTTTTTCACAAGGCGAGGAGGTGTGGGGAAGGGGGGAAGTTTTGTTGGTTGTTGCTGGCTTTCTCGCATTCGTTTTTTTGTCTTGTACCCGCTTCCTCCGACCAGCAGGTAGGCGCGAACGGGGTCACGCAACGATGAAGCCAAAGAGCGCCATGAATCAAACACGTCCTGATTGGAGCTGGTCCTGAGGTTTCTGGTCGCTTCTGGTCTCCCCCATGTGGGCCCCGGTGGCCATCAGGTAACGACTCCGGATGACAAGCTTGGCCTGGGAGGGGGGGTGCTCGTGATGTAACCAAAGATCCGAGGCGTCCAATATCCAAACCCCCGACGTCGTGATTTTTTTGTTATCGTGACGTGACCCCCACAAGGCCGGACCGCTTCCCGGGGACCAGTTTTTCTTTCGATTTTGTACGGTCCCGAGGCCTTGGGAGAGCCCCTGGATTCCGAAAGTAACGAAAAGCCTTCTTCCGTCGCTATTTTTTCTTCAGCGCGAGGGGATCTGGGGAGGGAGGTGAGGACCAGGGGGATGAGGAAATATCATGTGTCTGGTTCCGTGAGGTCTACCAGATTCCATGGTCCCCTTTCCTTCTTTCAGAGCGCTCCCTGGCCTCCCCCTCGCCAGCGCACGTGCTTGGGGTCATGATGGGCTAGTCGCCCTTTTCCTGGCTCCCCTCTTCCTGGCTCCCCTCTTCAGCGCGCCCGAAAACAGCCTTCGAGCTGTGACTGCGCAGTTTTTCCTTCTGCCCGGCCCTGAGAACAAGGCGACAGACTTCTAGGGTTTCGGCGGCTGCGGAACGCGCAGCACATCGTGTATGCTGAGTGCAGCTCCGCACGGTCAGCGGCTCTCTGCGCCGCCACTCTAGCAACAGACGGAGCGCTGACGACTCTGAGTTGAGAAAAAAATCCCACGACAGCATACTATAGGCTCGCGCCGTGTCGACCGGCGGCGACCCCGCCGCGGGCGTCCAAGGTGGAACGCCGCCGGCAACCAAGAGTCGGTCGATGTGGAACGAGCTGACGTTTCGGAGACGGCCGATCGTCTCCGCGGTGTGAACCAACGCCGGGGTCGGCACGACTCGAGCCTGCCGTATTCGCATTCATGCGCTCAGTCCTCCCCGCCCACTCCTCCGAACACCCCGCGCGGCGGGCAGATCTTGGCTGTGCTGCCGGCCGAGTGGAGGGGCACGACATTCAACAACTCCAACCTGCGCGGGCGCGAGGGATTCACGAGAGACTTGGAGGACCAGCCATGCGGGAAGGGGAGGGGGGAGAGGGAGAAGGAGTATTAGCAGGCTTGGGGGGAGGAGGGTTAGGAGGAGGAGGAGGAGGAGGAGCAGGAGGAGGAGGAGGAGGAGGAGGAGGAGGGAGGAGGAGGAGGAGGAGGAGGAGGAGGAGGAGGAAGAGGAGGAAATGTGCCGGAAGGATGAGGAGGAGGAGGACAAGGAGGAGGAGCAGCAGCACGATAGTGAGGACAGGAGGTGGAGGATGAGGAGGAGGTCCAGAGTGAACCCTGGATGCACCAATGATGCTGCAATGCGCAGGCCTGTCCCACGTACCCTTCTCTCACGTTCCTGCCAGCATGTTTTGTCGCCACGGCCCCTGCAAGACCATCAGGCGAGATAACCGTTTGGAACAGGAGTTGTCCTGGTGAACGTTATATTATTAGTTGTTTTGCCGATCGGCGCGGGTCCTCGCACCCTCCCCCTCCCCCCCTCCCTCGTGGAGTAGATCTTGGCTGTTTTGGGTGCCTGTTTCACGCAGGTGGAGTCTTGTCATAACGGACGCACGGTTCTGAACAGTCGCACGAAGCAGAGGTCCGGAGCCAGACGCCCCCCTCCCCTCCCCTTCTGCCCAGTGTCAACGACTAAAACAACGCGCACCTGACCTCTTCAGTGAAAGGAATGGTGCACTGGTGTCACAAGGTGCAAGGGGCTGCCCAGCGACAGGCTGGGTTTGAAGGGTAGGCGCCCTCCATCACTGTGATTGCTTCTCAGGCGAGACGCTCATTGTGAAAAGCAGCCGTTCTCCATCCGTGTATCCGCTATTGAGTTCGACGCAACTCGTCAAGCGAGAACCTCATTCTTAAAAAGAAAACGTCCTCCATCCCATCGGCTGTTGGATGATTTGACGGTGTGCCCCGGCGCGAGATGATTATCGAAGACGCCTACGGCGAATCACCGCCGCCCCCTGCCTTTTTGGAATCGCCCATGTGGCCGAGCGTTGTGGCAAGAGCTCTGCCAAGCTATCGGACCATGTGTTCCCCCAGCCGTTGTTGAAGCTCTTCGGGGAACACTGGGGGGAGGATGGGGGGGTGGCCTTCGGGGTATGAAGACTATTGTATGTTCGTGGGGATATTGTGGGAGGCTTCTCGGGGGCCTCTTCGAGGCAGTTTGGACGCCTCTCGAGAGCCGTTTGGTGCCTCTGAGGGCCTCTTGGGGGTCTCTAGGGCTCTCTTTTGGACCTCGTGGCGGCCTCTTGGGGCCTCTTGGGGGCCTCTTGGGGGCCTGTTGGTGCCTCTTCGGGCCTCTTGGGGCCTCCTGGGGGCCTCTTGGGGCGGAAGGCTCGGATTTTCGGTTCGTGTTCCCTCTTTTGGGCCCCTCGTGGGGCCGTCTTGGAGCCTTTGGGCCCTCTTGAGCTGTTTTGCGGCCCTCTTGGAGGCCTCTTGGGCCGTCTTGGGGCGGTCTTGGGGGCCTCTAGGGCCGTCTGGAAGGCGTCGGGAAGCGGAAACGGCGAGAACACCGTAGGACAATCTTTTGGCATCTTGGGGCCCTCTTGGGAGGCCTCTTGGAGGCCTCTCGGGCAGTCTGGGGGCCATCTCGAGCGTGTTGAGGCGATCGTTCGGCTCTTCGAGGCCGCCTGGGGCCGTCTTGGAGGCCTGCCGGGGGCCCTCTTCGCCCGTCTCGTGGCCCTCGTGGGCACGAAGCGGTCGCGCGGCAGGACGCGACAGGCCCCATGGGGGCACGCGCCAAGCCCCGGAGAAGCCGGGAATTGGGGGCCCTGGCCGTTTTGAAGGACTCCTCAGGAGTTGGGGCTCAGGCTTGCGGGATCGGGCAAAGGGCGTGATGACACGCCCACTCCGTGCGGCGGCGCCGATGGACATGCCGATGTATGTAGGGTTAGGGTATTTGGGGTGAGGCTTCGGAAAAAGCTGGCAGTACTTCAAAACCATTGTTCGATGTTCAACATTCTGGGGTCTCACCTGAACTTACGCGGATAGTGAACTCCACCTGATATCCCCGTGGACGGTCGGGTAAGGCACTTGCGCTACCATGGTGGACATGCCGTTGTAGGTTAGGGTATGTAGGGTTAGGGTTTGCAGGGCTAGGCTTCGACAAGAAGGTAGTAGTTTGGAACAAATGGTGTTTTTTTCCGCATTCTCGGGCTTCACCTTTGCGCGGATAGTGGATTCCACTTGTCCTTGTGGACGTTCGGGTAAGGCGCCTGCGCTACCATGATGGGCATGCAGATTTATGTTAAGGTATGTAGGGGTAGGGTCTGTAGGGTCAGGCTTCGAAATAATGGCAGTAATTGATAACTATTGTGTCCTCACGCAGCGGAGATGTTAGAGGATATCGTTTAAGCCGTTCTAGATTCCGTCATTATTTGCTCGCGCTCTCTCTCTCTCTCTCTCGCGCCGTGGCTGTCAGGTGGGCCACGCCTGAGATTTCGGGGGGTAGTGCACGATACTTGGTACCCTTTGTGGACATTCGGGGCGAGCACCACGCTTGAACCTGCGCGGGTACAGTCGGCCCGGATTAGTAGGTCGACCCTGCCAGCTCAAGGGTACCCTTGGGTCCTTAGCCTCGCGGCACGTGCCTTCTTACACTCTTGTGGCGACGTGGCCCTCGGAAGGGTCTTGTGTCCTCTCGCGTGTCCTGTCCTTCGGATGCATCTCCTGGGAGGTCAAATTCTGCTTTTGCCCTGGTTCGAAATCCGGCCTAATCCAGCTCAATCCCGATGCATCCGGCTTAATCCCGCTCAATCCCGCTCAATCCGGCTTAATCCGGCTTAATCCGAGGCCCACTCCGGCGTAGCAGCTCCCAAATGGGGCTCAATCCTCTTTAATCTTTCCGACGAAAACCTCCCAGTAGTTGCCTCCTAGTGAGCCCCACTTGGTGCCCCCTCTGGGCGTTCGGGGAGAGCGCCTGCGCGACGCGTGGGCCCTTGCTGTCGGTGCCCGTGCCTGCCCAGAGCTCTTCTGTTGCACGCGCTGGGAAAAACGCAGGAGGGAGGAACCTCGGGGTGCACAGATAAGAGAGAGTTGCGGAGGGCGGTCCATGGAGAGGAAGCATGTTGCCAAATAATTTCCAGATGTCTAAACAAATTGTTAACAGCGTTTCTTTTGTATGAACATGTTTACAACATGTTCCCGACTTTGTAAACAGTTTAAATTCAATGATCGGATTGTTAGGGAGTCCATTGTCGTGGCATCCACAAGGATACTCATCAGCATGCTTGTGTGCGTTCGGGGGGCGCGTGTCCATACGTATCCCTTGTGAGTGTTCGAGGAACTCGCCTCACATTACATTTGGTCGCGATGATGCTGCAAGTTCTTGCTCAACTCGTTCCTTTCACGCGCTTCCCTTTCATGTCAGGAAAGGTTCCTCAGAATGGCCATTTCGCTTGAGACATCCGCGCAAAATGGAGATGTTGGAGGCTATCGTTCAAGGCGTTTGATGTAACAAATGATGATTTCGCCTGAGACATCCTCAAAAGATCGGGACGATGAAATCGGTCGCGAAATTTTTGGATCTTCGAATATGGGGCTCTCGCCTGAGACACCCTCGAAAAAGTGAGATGTTGCAAACGCTGTTTTCAGACCTCTCGTGCGAAAAGTGAGCGTTTCGCCCGAGACGTCCTCAGACAATCTACTGCCCTCGCCTCTGGTGGAGTGGGCGCGCCGACGTTGGGACAGCAGTCAAGACGCTGCCGGTGCGGCGGGCGAAAGAGCCCCTTGCCCGACGCCCCCGCACAGACTCCACATTCCCCAGGAGGATCCAGACCCCACCATGACGACCGAAATTAAACCAGAGCGCGCAGGGATGGGCTGGCGGGCTTTGAGTGCCTCGCCTGTCCTGGCCCAGACCGCGAGGCCAGAGCAGGACCCCAGCCTGGGAGGGAAACCTGAAACCCTGCCCCCGCGCCAGGCGGAAGCCGCTGCAGAACGGGCCCCGTGGGGTCACTTCGAGCCGGGTATTTGCTACCCCGCCTCCGCGCCAGGCGTAAAGTTGAAGCCTCCGCGCCAAGCGGACCGTGGAACTCTGCGCGACGCTTGCCCTTACGGAAACAGGAATGCGCCGCTCCCATGGGAGTTCCCCAAGCCACGAGGCTCCTGGCACACCGAAGCCCATGACGCCCATGAACCAGAAGGTACATGAGTCGAAGAGCCCCGTCTCGGTTGCAGATTTTCCTCCTCTGCCAAATCTCCGATTTAGGGGGTATGAAAATGGAAATGTTGCAATCGCTGGCGAAACTTTCGGATCGTCGAACACTTAGATTGTGCTTGAGACATCCTCCAAAAAAAGAGATATTGAAGCCGCTGTTGTACAGCATCTTCCGGAGGCGCTCTTCAAGGACCTCCGAGATGGCCCAAGGAGCGAAATGATTGAAAACCCATGGGCTTTCAACGCTTGTGTTTAACACGCCGCGTTTCGCTCGAGACATCCCCCCTAAACTGCCTTCGAGCGGGTCCTCGAAACCACCAGACCATGATGGACATGCCGATGTAGTTTTGGGTATGTAGGGTTAGGGTCTGTAGGGCTGGGCTTCGAAAAGATGAGAGTAATTAAAGAACGGTGTGTTCTTCAACGTTCTGGGGCTTCACCTGAACTTGCGCGGATAGTGAACTCCACCTGATATCCCCGTGGACGTTCGGGGAACGCGCCTGCGCTACCATGATGGACATGCCGATGTAGGTTCGGGTATGTAGGATTAGTATATGTAGGGTGAGGCTTCGGAAAAAGCTGGCAAAACTTCAAAACCATTGTTTGATGTTCAACATTATGGGGTCTTACCTGAACTTACGCAGATAGTGAACTCCACCCTATATCCCCGTGGACGGTCGGATAAGGCGCTTGCGCTCCCATGGTGGACATGCCGTTGTAGTTGATTGGCTTGCCAATTTCGCTCGAGACATGTTTTAAATTGTCTTCGGACGAGTCTTCCGAAAGATGAAGGTACTTCTAAACCTGTATGTTTGTGTCAACATTGTGGGGCTCGCCTGAACTTGCGCGGGTAGCGAACTCAACATAATACCCCCCGTGGACGCTCGGGAAGAGCTCTAATGCTACAGTCGATCTCGATGTTGGTGCATGTTCTTGGCAAGCTCTTTGGTTTCACGCGTTTCCCGTTCATGTCAGGCAAGGTTTCTGAAAAATGGCCGTTTCGCGCAGGGCATTCTCAACACATCGGCTCTGGAAGGGGCTCTGGACCAGCATTATCTTGGAATCGCCCCAGGAGGGCCTCAAACGGCCCCAGAGTTCCCCCGAAGGCCCCCCACGGGACCCCCAAAGCGCCCCAAGAGACCCCAATAGGCCCCAAGAGCCGCCCAGAGGCCTCCAAGAGCGCCCAAAGAGGCCCCGGGACTGCCCACGAGGGCCCTAAGACGGCCCGATACAGCCCAAGATGGCGCCAAGATGGCCGTGAGAGAGCTCCCACAGAACCTTCAGAAATGCCCAGACAGCCCAAGAAGACCCCTGCCGTCCCCAAGAGAACCCCGACAGGCCCCAAAGAGGCCCTCAGGATGCCTCAAGATAGTCCCAGACGGCCTCAACAGCCCACACGGAAGCCTCACAAGATCACGAGGGCCCTTCTCTTCTTCGACGTTCTTTCCGTCGGGCATCTCACCGTCTGTCTTCGTCGTCGTCGTCGTTGTCGTCGTCCTTCTTTTTCTCCTCCTCCTCATCCTCCTCCTCCCCCTCCTCCTCCTCCTTCTCCCTTTCCTCCTACTCCTCTTCCTCCTCCTCCTCCTTCTCCGCTTCGTTCCTCCTCGTACTCGTCCTCTATGTCTTCCTCGTCCTCGCGCTTGTCTTCCTACTCGTTGTCCTTCTGCCCCCCTCGCTGCCCTCCCCGCCATCCACGCTGCCATCCTCGACATCCGCTGCCTTGTTGTCGCCATTATCCTTTTCTTGTCCCCCATTCTTGCCCGATCAGGTTTCTGACTAATAGCCGTTTCGCGAGAGAGATCCTCGGAAAATCGGTTCCGGAAGTGGCTCCGAACAAGCATTATCTCGGAATCGCGCCCAGAGAGCTTTTAAACGGCCCCAGAGAGCCCCCAGAGAGCTTCAAAACGGTCCCAGAGAGCTCCCGAAGGCCCCCCAGGAGACCCCAGAGGCCCCAAGAGACCCCGAAGAGGCCTCCAAGAGCCGCCCAGGGACCCCCCCGCGGTCCCCCAAGAGGCTCCCAAGAGCCGCCCAGAGGCCCCTCGGGGCGCCCGAAGAGGCCCCAGGATGGCCCAACAGAGCCCTGAGACGGTCCAAGAGAGCACCAGGACACCTCCAGAGAGCCCCCACAGATCCCCGAGACGCGCCGGACAGTCCGAGAAGGTCACAGAAGCCTCCAGGAGGCTCCCATCATACTCCCACAGAGGGTCCGTAGCCGTTTTGGCTCAAGGCACCTCGGCTGAAATTTCCAGCGGCGTTCGGACGCTGATGTCATCTGCTAAACTTGTCTGAAAGAGAGAAGAGGAGTCATGCTTCGACTTGTTGCTTCAGTCTTATTTGCGGCTGTAGTGCCCCCTGCCCGTGGAGCACGGCTGGCCGTCGCAGGCACCACAGACATCGTGACGCATGAGGCAACAGACGGGGCTGCCCGTGCGACGGCGATCGTGGGTGCAGCGGAGGTTCCCTCTGTTGGTCAGGCGTGCACGGGGAATTGGCTATTTGGATCTGGCGGCGGTTGCGGTAGGCACCGCGTGACAGATCTCGATGGCACGGTGTCAGACGTGCAGCTGAAGTGTTTCAAAAGGGACGCGCTGAAGGCAGACGAACTTGCTGACAGGGGCGAGCGTGGAATCTGCCTTATCCCGAAGAACGAGAAGTGCGAAGAAGACGAGCAGTGCCGCAGTGGCACATCCTGCCAGCCTCGTGGCTTTGACGCCGTGCACAGGTGTCGGGAGGTGTGTGCCGAGTGTGATGCCGACGGGGAGGACGACGCAGGGCTTGCGGTGCGCGTGGCAGCTGTAGTCCGGTCCATGGCACGAAGCCTTTCCCAGTCTGACCTCTTGAGAGGTACGCCCGTGCCCGGGAAATTCATGGATGCTAGGTCGGGCGCCTTGTCTCCCTTTGTTGCACAGCCCGCGGTTGCGCAGCATGTCTTGAGGGAGGTGTCGGTGTCGTTCGAGACGGCTGAGATCAAAGGAGAAGATGCGGCCTCCCGGTCTGGTTCACTCTTCGCGATCTCAGGCGATGGGCGGTTCCTTGCGAAGAGCGTCCGAGAAACAGAGCACAAGGAGTTGACAGGACATCTACTGGACCCTATGGCCAAGTATTTGAACCTTCGGGATATCACCTGCCAGCCCAGTGCGATGGACTATTGTTGGGTGGAGGGCGTACTCAGTCGCACCACTCTGAATGTGCCTGTCCTGGCATTCGTACATGATGGCAGATATTGGGTGGTCATGCCGGCGGGTGCTCAGATGCGAGGGCTAGCCGTGTCGCACTCCGTGGGCAGCCTCCAACCGTGGGGGGCGGCAACATACTACGATTTGAAACCCGTTTGGGCGAAGAGCAGTGCTCGTCCGGACTTCATGAAGCTGCTCACGGAGCTTGACTTCCATCCCACATCAGGTAGTGCGCCCGCCGAGATGCGGACGCAGTGGGCGAAGTTGCAGGCCGCTGTCGAGAGAGACCTGGACTTCATTGCCTCGGAGGAGTCGGACGAAGATCCGTACATCGACTACTCGCTCCTGTTCGAGGTCTACACGCCCAGCCGTAGAGTCGACGTGGCAGGCAAGAACTGCATCGAGGGGCGCTCTTGTTTCAAAGATGACGCCACAAGTTGCTGGGTGATCTGCATTTCCATCATCGACTTCTACGAAAAGTTCTCGATGTTTCGTTATGTGGAGAGCGTGGTAAAGTCTTTCAAATTCCACAATTACGCACGGAAAACGAAAGAGATGTTTCGGTGTGCGTTCTCCCAGAATATGTCGTGGACCGGCGAAACTTCGTTGATCGACGGCGTTGCATCGTCCACGTCTATCCCCTCGTCCCGCGTGGTGAACTTGACTACGTCCGTTAATGCTTCCATTGGTTTTGCAGGCATCCTTCCTGACCCTGTCGACTGCGACCCCTATCTGGAAATGGCTTGCGGCAAGTTTCTCGGCAACGGATTATGGAGCATTGTCCGCACAGAGTGCCAGCCTTGGTGGGTCGCGCTGATTTCACTACCTCGCACTTGCTCCAAGGCCACTTGCAGCTTCAGCATCAAAGCGGAATACTTGGAACATTGCGGTGGTTGGTTGCAGGCAAAATGCAGACACGATTTGGATATGCATAATTATGATGAAAGGTCCCGTGCCGCACATTCGAATATGCTCTTACAGAATGCGTCAGAGGTTTCTAGTACTGACTCAGTGCGTCCTTGAGTGGGGCACCCCGAGCAAGAGGCAAGCTCATGCATGCACGGCTTCGGCGCTGGTTGCCATCAAAAGAAAAATGTTCCCACAGGGGGCCCCATACAGACTTGACGGCTCACGAGATTCATCATATGTTTTGAGGGGGGGGGGGAGCCGCTTCGTTCCTCCTCGTACGTGTCCTCTTTCATCTCTTCGTCCTCGTCCTGTACTTGTCTTCCTACTCGTTATCCTCCTGCTCCCCTCGCTGCCCTCCCCGTCATACACGCTGTCGTCCTTGTAATCCGCCGCCTTGTCGTCGCCATCATCCTGCCCTCTCTTCTGCCCACGAGCCCGAAAGGACAAAATCTGCGCTGCCCGTTCTTGTCCGATCGGGTTTCTGAAACATTGCCAGTTCGCTAGGGAGATCCTCGAACAATCGGCTCCGGAAGGGGCTCCGGAGCAGCATTATCTCGGAATCGTTCCCAGAGAGCCTCCAAACGGCCCCAGAGAGCCCCCGCAGAGTTTCAGAACGGCCCCAGAGAGCTTCCCGTTCTTGTCCGACCAGTTTTTGAAAACCACCCGCCGCCTGTCCTGAAAGACCCTCTTGGAAGTCGGCCCGGCCGCCATCCGCTGTAGCCTTGTGGCAGTCGATGAATGGAGAGGAAGCGTGCTGCCAATTCATTCCCAGATGTCTAATGCTCCAAACATGTTTTGACTATCTAAAAACATGTTTGACTCTTTAAAAAACCAGGTTTACACATTCTAAACACATCTTTAATTTCGGGGGCGGCAAAGAGGGGGGTGATGACTAGGGGGGTGGATATCATGGCGGGGGCCATGATATTTCCCCAGATTTCATGGCGCCCCCCCTCTTGGCCGCTCCCGACAATTCAATGATAGGAGTGTCAGAGTTCCCACTGCCATGGCATCCACAGCTGCTTGCCCCCCCTTGAACCTGGAATCTTGCTACCCCCTCCTCCCTTCCTCTCCTCCTCCTCCTCCTGTTCTTCCTCCTCCTTGTCCTCCTCTTATTCTCCCTCCTCCACCTCCTCCTCCTGTTGTTCCTCCATCTCCTCCTCCTCCTCCTCCTGCCCTCCTCTCATCCCTCTTGCCCCTCTGACTCCTCTCTCCCTCCCTCCTGCCCCCCTCTCGCGGGCGAGCGCGCGCGGCGCTCCGGGCCAGCGCGGGCTGCCACGGCGGAGCGGGCGGAGGATGGGGGGCCGCCGGAGGCGCCCCCGCAGGCTGCCCAGGGTGCCCAGTGGGCCCTGGAACAGGAGGAGGAGGAGGAGAAGGAGGAACAGGAGGAACAACAGGAGGAGGAGGAGGAGGAGGAGGAGGAGGAGGAGGACGACGACGACAGGGCCGTTTTTTCCTACCGGCTCCGTTGTTTGCTGTCTTTTTTGCCGGTTCCGACGCCGTTGTTTCACGGGTTCCGTCGCCGTTCTTTTTGTACGGGTTCCCGCTGCGGTTCCCATCCTGGGGACGTTTTTTTGTTGCCGTTTCCGGTCGCCGTTTTTCTCTTGCCGTTTCCATATTCAAGGGACACTTTTTCGGAAACGGTGAAAAAACGGCCCTGCCATTTCCAGGGCCCACTAAGGCCCAGGCGGCCCACGACGTCCTAGAATCCGAGGCGGGCATTTATCCATATCCACCGCCTGGAGGGTCAGTTTTTGGAGCCTCGGCGGGCGGTGGATACGGACATATTCGGGCCCGCGGGGGCTGAAATATATCCAGATCCACCGCCCGCTGGGGCACCAGGACGTCGGTTCCCAGGCGGTGGATGTGGATAAATCCCGGCCTCGCATAGAAATCAGCGGCGAGCGTGGGCGGGAAGTGAGAAGGGGCGGGCCTCCTCAGAAGGCTGGGAAGGCCCACGGCCTTTTTCCCAGAAGTCTCCGAAGTCTTCCTGGAAGACAGAGAAGCCTCTCAGAAGGCGCGAGGGTTTCTGAGGAGTCCCGCCGCCTCCTGAGAAGGCCTTATCCTTTTCACTTCCCCCCCATTCCCCCCCACCTCGCTCGCCGCCAAAACACCTCGAGCTCTGGAGCCATTCTCTGGATCGGGCAGGAGTCGGAGACGCAGGAGGAGGGGGGAGGGAGCGGGGCGGATGAGGAGGAGGGCGGACCAGAAGATCCGACGTCGCAAAACAACCAAAAAGACGACATCGTAGAACAAAAATCACCACCGGAGCCCCGGATATCCCATCCCTCGGCGCAGAATGTCTGGAGCCAGCTCGCTCCGTGAGGGCCCCGCGGGGCCCGAGATCGAGCGAGAGCGCCCCCGTAGTGATCCGAGCAACATCGGGCGAAGACGCCCGAAATCGAACGACACCGAGCGGCAACGGCCCCAACGTGACACGCCGATCGGTGAATTGCCCGTTCTCGGCGCTCGAGAGGGCGCCGCGGCCGCCGTCTTCCAGGCCCGCGCCCGCCAGGTGTGGGCCCGAGGTCGGCTTCACTGAACCACGACCTGCTGAGAGGGGGGGTCCTGCCCGTCCCCGAAATAGAGTGCAACGCCGAGATCTCTCGGGGGGCGGCGGCGGACCCAGTCCCCGGGCGCAATACTGCTTTCACTGCGTCGACACCGGGAGGCCTCGACCCCTTCCCCGGGGACCGGCTTTTCCTCCCGAGTCGTTTTTTGTTGACGGCCCCGGGGGCCGGGACGGGCCCCCCGGAGCCGAACACAGCAGAAGACCTCCCGGGACTGATTCGTCCGTTGCCTTGGCATCGCTCGGACGTGTGCATGGTTTTCTCGGCGAGGACCATCGAGGAGCATCCTGGATCATCGAGCCCCCCCACACAAAAAAAAAAAACACCACGCGCGAAACCGAACAACGCACACGGGACGTCCGAGCGATGGCGAGTTGCCCGAGGGGGGCGCGGTGGCGGAGGCGGCGGCGGGGGGGGGGGGGTCGGCGGCACCGCAGGAGCTGATCCTCCGCAAGTTTCGGGCCGGGGAGCGGATCTCCAGGGAAGACCTGGACGACGTCGGCGCCGCGCCGCCCCCATCGCCGCGCGGGCCTCGCGCGCCGGCGTCGGGGGGCCCAGACCTCCTCGGGCTGTGAAACAAGCAGGGCGGGAGTCTTTTCGTCGTGGAAGTCGGTTCATGGAGAGGAAGCGTGCTGCCAAATGATTTTCCCATGCGCGCGCGGCGACCAGTGAGAATGTCAGCCGCGGGCAGTACAAGAGCCCCAAGAAACATCCCTCGGGACTGACGCTGCCCTTGCATGGCCCCCCGAGAACGCCCCGAAGAAACCCCACGAGGCATCCCTGAGACTCTGGGCCCAAACCATGCTGGGATGGACCGAAGGCCAGGGAAGACTTCACGGTCTGGGAGCCCGCGCAAGACATCCACATCCACGGCGAGAACGCGCATCATGGACGTGCCGGACTCGTCCTGCACGGCCACCGGAAGCCGGAGTTGAGCCTCCAAGGCCAGGACCGTCACAGAACGACTCGGGACGACAGGCCGGTCCCGGCGAAGGGGTCCAGACCTGCATGTGGGGGCCGGCGTTGTGAAGAAGCACGGCGTCATAGGCCTGGGGAGGCGGGAGGGGCGGAGAGGGGCGGAGGGGGAGGCCCCCGGCCGCGGGGTGTGCGCGTGTGTGTGTGTGTGTGTGTGTGTGTGTGTGTGTGTGTGTGTGTGTGTGTGTGTGTGTGTGTGTGTGTGTGTGTGTGTGAGTGAGTTGTGTGTGTGTGTGTGTGCGCAGGCTGGGCGCTGTGCCCAGGCCCCCTCGCGCTGTGACCAGGCTCCCTCGCGGCGGGAGGTTTTCGTTTCGCTCGCCCGCCAGGGGCCCCTCCTGCGAGCAAGGAGAGGCGACACCAACACCAGCAGGGCGAGGAGGTGCGAGGAGGCAAGGGGAGTCTCCCTGGTGGTGTGGTCCCCCCCCTCTCGCTCGAGACGTCCCCAGCATCCAGCTCCGGGAGGCATCGGGACCTCCTCGCTGGAGGTGGGCCCCCTGGTGGTGTTGGTATCGCCTCTCCTCCCTCCGACTTCCCGGGCTTCGGGGCCGTCAAGAAACGACGGGGGAGGAAGAACCGGTGCCGGGGAAGGGGTGCAGACCTCTTAAGGGGTCGACGCGAAAGCATCACGACGTCGGGGGTCGTGCCCGCCTGTGAGGAGGTGCCCGCGCCGGGCGTGCCTGGTCAGGCGCGCGGCCCCGATAGCGCAGTTTTCGCCAAGCCAAGCGGAAGGAAGGAAGGAAGGAAGGAAGGAAGGAAGGAAGCGAAGCATACGAAGGAAGCCACCAGTCGGCGGCGAAAGAAGGGCCCGAGTTCCGACGGCCCAAGATGCGTTTCAGACGGCGTTAGAGTTTTCCACGACGCTTCAAGACCGCTCCAAGAGGACCCTCGCGGTGGCTCCGAGAAGCAACACTCGTCCCACTCTGTTTGGAATATCTGCATGTTTACCATGTTCGCCTTCTGCGTTTCAGCACGGTCCACGACGTCCCCGGAGGCCTCCAACATCGCCCAGAGATTGCACAAGAGGCCCCCACGAAGGCCCCTACACGGCCCAGGAGGGTCCCAAGACGGACCACGAAACACAGAAGACGGCCCAACAGGGCCCCAAGAAGACCTCAAGATGGGCCCAAGAGGGGAAACCCGATCTGCAATTTCGAGCCCTCCGCTCAAAGATGACTCTCGAGGCCGCCAACAGGCCCCCGACAGGCTCCCGGGAGAGGCACCTGGGAAGCCACCAGGTGACTCCCAAGAGGCCCCAACCAGGCTCCGGGAGGCTCCCAAAGAGACCCCAAGTTACGTCCACGAGGCCTCTGGCCCACAGCCCAGGCAGATCCCCCTGATCGACCCCAGACCGCCGCCAAGGCGGCTCCAGAGGGCCTCGAATCGTTGAGGTCTTCAGCGGGGCTCCAGGGGGCCCCAAGGCGGCTCAAGAAGGCACCCAGATGGCCCAAGAGGGCCCCAAGTCTGTCCAGGGCGCGCCCCCGACGGCCCAAGAGAGCCCCAAGCGGGCCCCCAACCCCCGAGGGGACATCCAGGACCGTCGTGGGAGACGCTATTGGAGAATGCGGCTCCCAACGCGCCACCAACACCTTCCTGGAGGCCTCCAGGACGCTCCCAAGAGGCCCTGAGAACTTCCGAGACGGCCCCAAGAGGCGCCGAGAGTCCCACAAGACGCCCAGCAGAGGCCCCGACCGCAAATGTGTGGCCAGGGGGCCTGGCCCGCCTGTGGGGGGCCCAACGCCGCTCTTGAGAGCCACCAGACAGCCGCCACGGCGGCCAAAGACGGCCCCGAGTCGCCCCCACGACGCCTTCCAGAGGTCTCCGACGGTCCGAGATGCGTTTCAAACGGCCCAAGAGGCATCCACGACGCTTCAGGACCGCTCCAGCATGACCCCCAAGATGGCCCCGAGAAGCAAAACACATGGCATTCTCTGTTGTTCAACCCGCATGCTCACCATAACTATTCGCTTTTTGCGTTTCAGCACGGTCCAGGACGACTCAACATAGTTATCAGAGAGGCGCCCCAAAGACCACAGAGGGCTCCGGGAAGCCCCCAGGAGACCCCCATGAGGCCCCCAGCCGGGCTCCGAGAGACTTCCGAGGAGATCCCGAGATACGTCTTCGATGCCTGTGGCCCACAGCCCAGGCCGATGCCCCCCGATCGACCCCAGACCGCCGCCAAGGCGGCTCCGGAGGGCCGGCGCCCACGACGCTTCAAGACCGCTTTGAAAGGACCCCCACGGGGGCATCGAGGAGCACCAGCATGTGCCCCGCTCTTTCCAGACAGCGTGAGAGACTTCCACAGAGACCCCAAGATAGGTCCACGAGGCCTCTGGCCCACAACCCAGGCAGATGCCCCCTGATCGACCCCAGACCGCCGTCAAGACGGCTCCTCGAGGGCCACGGATCGCTCCCAAGACGGCTTCGAGGAGTCTTCGACGGCCCCGAGAGGCAAGCCTGCATCTGTTTTTCTAATGTGTGCGTGTCGCGTTCTAAGAGGGCTCCACGAGGGCCCCTAAGAGGGCCCGGGGAGGCCGCAATCGCCGCATTCTTTCCCGGAAGCCGCACGTGTTTAGCACATGCGCGTTGCGGATCATCGCACCCTCCACGACGGCCCAAGAGGCGCTCCAGGGGGCCCCAAGCCGGCTCCAGAGGGCCCTCAGGCGCCCAAGAGGCCCCCAAGAGGGACCCAAGACGGCCCCAGAGGGCCCCAAGTGGGCCGCAACGGAGCACCAAAAGGCCCCCAAGAGGGTGCTTAGGACGGCAGTAGGGGACTCTGTTGGGGGGTGCGGCTCCCAACGCGCCACCAATACCTTCCAGGAGGCCTCCAGGACGCTCCCAGGAGGCTCCCAGAACCTTCCGAGGCGGCCCTCAGAGGCGCCCCTGCTAAGGACGCACGCGCTGGTAGTGCTTCTATACGTCTCTATATTTGTCGTGCTTTCCCATGTGCACATATGTGGTGTCCACGCTGTATGTGTGTACGCACGAACGTTTACGCGCATGCATGTTATGCGTTACTAGATATTATGGCAAAAATCCTGAGGAGGCTAGTTCAAGGGGGCTGTCCGGGGGGGGTTGTCCGGAACCTTGTGGGGTTGTCCAGGGGTTTGTCCGGGATGCATTTTGGAGGGGTTGTGTCCGGGGTTTGTTTGGAGATTTGTTGTGAATCCGATGTTTCTTTTGAGCCTCGTAGTATCATTGCGACATACATACATACATACATACATACAGACAGACAGACAGACAGACAGACAGGCAGACAGACAGACAGACAGAACGACAGACATACATATATATAAATATATACACATTTATATATACACATATATATATATATATGTATATATATATATATATATATATACATGTCTCCTTTGGGAACCGATCTCGCAGGTGGAAGCGCCTTATAGCGGTTAGACGGTCCAGGGATCGTTAGGGATTTATTTTTTTCCAAAACAGCTCAAACCCTCTGGAAACCTTGCGAAGACCTGGGAAACCTCCCAGAGGCTTTTCCAATGGTTCCAGGAGGGGCTTGCCAGGGTTTTCGTCGTTTTGGGTGGGAAGCAGCCCCTAGCGAACCCTGGGCTTCCTGTTTTCAGCGCCTTCACAGGGCCCCTCCTCGTCGCTGTCGTCGTCGCGGTGCCAGCGCTGCCTCCGTGTAGCGCTGCCGCTTCTGTGCGAGCTCGCCGCCTCCTGCGCCCGCGCCCCGCGCGGGCCCCGCGGCGGGCGCCGCCCCGTCGGCGTCCGCAGCAGCTGTCTTCTGGGCCTTCTTCGAGCTAATTCTTACCAGAACCCCTCGCGCTGTGAAAATTGCGCTGCCGAGGGACCCCACATACCCATAATATGTTTGGAGTGATGCTAATTCAGATGAAACGTGCGAGAATGATGCTGGTGGCCGTTGCCCCACCGATACCGTTGGTGACGCCGATACCGAAGAAGGGTCTAGTAAGTACCTCACCAAGCACTGTCTCCTTGCATCGTCAGCGCCTCGTTTACGCGGCAACTCTTCGTATTTGGTGAATGGCGTCTCAGGCCACCAGTTCATCAGCTGTCGGTGGTAAGCATCAAATGCGCGTTGCACCAAGACGTTCCCATGCCTCACGACATATCTGCGCAAACCATCCAGGTTCACCTCGGCGCTCATCCCCAGCATTGATTTCTTGAGCTGCTCGCACGGCGGTGGCAGCGCGGACATGGCGCATTTGGTTGCCATGGCGGGGACCGTACCTTCGACGGAGAGTCACCGGTGGTTGTTTGCGTTCACAGATCCAGCGGTATGAGCTGGCATGAGCCAGGGTTGCAACAGTTCTTGATGATGATGAGGAGGAGGATGAGGATGATGATGAGGATGGTGATGAGGATGACGATGATGACGATGATGATGATGATGATGATGATGATGATGATGATGATGATGATGATGATGATGATGATGCCACGCCTGTTATGCCTTGGACGACTGGGGCGCATAGTGGCTGGGCTGAGAGACGCCGCCCCTTGCGCAACTTCTACGGAACGCTACGCGGGCT